AGCCCCTGTGGCGCAATGGACTAGCGTGTTGGACTTCTAATTCAAAGGTTGTGGGTTCGAGTCCCACCAGGGGTGGATTTTTTTTTTTTTTCTTTCTCTTCAAATCCACTCTACAACTCCATTAAAAATTTCATTTAGGATTTATTTATCGGCGATTTAAATTAAAAAAAAAAAAAACATTTTCAATGACGGTTCGCGTGGAAAAAAAAGGATTCGACCAGAATTGCGAGCATAAACTTAAGCACGCTGTAATTTTTAAAACTATTGAAAAGAACCTGCAGACACTGAAACTTTCGAGTAAAAGTATATCAAAAGAAAACAAGAAAACAAAGCTGACCCCGACGTGATTTGAACACGCAGCCTTCTGATCTGGAGTCAGACGCGCTACCATTGCGCCACGGAGTCAATCCTTAAATACTAGCGTCGAAACGAAAAGGTGAACACTTTGACAATAGTAGTGCGGAAATCTCGACTTGTCATAACACAGCAATATTTTTTTTTCCCTAACAAGCACTCGGACGTTCTGGTTTTACGCCACCGCGAATAAAAGAACCGACTAATCGCTGGTTATTTTCTCCACGGGTAATCATTCGATCGTCGAATTGCTTCGCCATTTTTGAATAATTATAATAATAACCATCATCATCAAAATAGGTGACCTACTACACGTCCCTATGAACTGAATTACAAGAAATCGGCAAGTGACAAATAATACCGATTTGCATGCTATTTTACACACGGATTTCAAATAACAACAACAAATCACAATCTACCGTTTTGGTCATGAAAATCTCTTTGTTACCAGCTGTAAGTTGTGTGATATGCACAGTTTAGTAATTAATTTAAATTTAACAATGAATAAAAATAAACGTCCGAACTAACCTTTTTGATAAACTCCACAACTTCTTCATTTGTGTAGCCATAATAAGGCTGCAGAGCAAGAGTGTAGATTTCCCACAAGAGGACACCAAACGAATAAATATCAGACTCCACGGTGAATTTTCCAAGCAGTAAAGCCTCGGGAGGCATCCAGCGGATTGGTAACACAGCCTGGCCTTCCACCTGAGGGAGATAAAATCGATTTTCTTTTTATTGTAAAGAAAAGACTCACCAGATGTCGACACAGTAGTTGTATTTCTCACTCTGTCCAAATGCCATTCTCATCCCCAGAGCCTCAACGACATTTTAAGACGAGTAGCACTGGGGATGAGAATGTCTAAATGCAATACACGCATGATCACTCCCAATCTAGACTACTACAGTCTAGTCCGGAGTACTCCCTCTTTCGCTTAGTACGTCGTGCGTGACGCGAGAGAAAACCGCTAGAAAAAAATGGCCGCGCGAAATCCTGGAGGCGAGGAGCGCGCGAAAGCTCCTCGCCTCCAGGATTTCGCGTGGCCACTTTTTTTCTCGCGGTTTTCTCCCGCGTCATGCACGACGGAGTGAGAGCGAAAGAGGGACTACTCGTAGTCTACTCTCAGTCTCGTACCCAGACTATTCTTAGCATTTTCGGTCATCTCTGCCGGAGCGGCTTACCTTGTAGTAGTCCGAAGCGTAGATGTCTCTAGACATTCCAAAGTCAGCGATCTTTACAATGAGACCTGTACCCACAAGACAATTTCTTGTAGCCACGTCCCTGTGAACAAATCGGAGCATCTGAAGGTGTTCCATGCCAGCAGCACATTGTAATGAGATGGACATCAAGTCATCTGTCGTGAGATTGACTGTAAACAGAATAAAAAAAGAAAGAAAATTGAACATAATTGCTCTCCTTAGTAGAAACTATCATTTCAGGGTCAGTAAAACATGCTCCCTCACCCCCGAGCACTCTCAAAGCAGCGAGGGGAATAAGTTCCAGTTAGATCCCAGTCCCACCCATTAGGGCAACTCTTCACAAGTAATACGAACTTGCAGCAGCTTTGATTTTTCTCAGTTTATTTGCTCATCTCCAAACCGGCCCAAATAGCTGCTGGTAATTGAATGAAACAACGTTTCCTTTGCGATAATTGTTTAATCATCGATCTCCCCTTTTTGTTGTTTTCTTTACTAGGTACGTTTTTCGCCCGGCGCCCTAAAATTACTTAATTCGCTGGTGTGTGTGTAGATCAGTCGAGAGCGTAAAACTGTCATCTTTCAACCAGTCCAGGATAAATAGAACGATCTCTGGGAATGGAACGCCTGCTTTCACTACAGGATAGCTAATACACTTGATATAAGAAATAATAGTGTGTCTTCTCGGACCCGAGTTGCTAATTAATAAGGAATGTCAAACCTTTTTCTTTTTCTTCGCCTTCAAAAAAAGGCCCGGCTTTTCTGAGGTATTGATTGAGATCCCCTAAATCCATGAATTCAAATATCATTCCATAAGGTTCTTCATCAGTAGAGACTGCTAATAATTCAACAATGTTTTCATGATGTAGAACAGACATCAAAGCAACTTCCTGGAAAAAATCTTCTTTGGTTTCCGTAGAGCTTCCTTCTTTCAGAGTTTTGACAGCAACCATCATCTCTGCATCGGCTTTTCCCTCAATCAAACCGTACGCCCTTCCTAAAATAAAATGTTTAATGTTTAGCTTTTAACACGCTGCACAAAGATTTTTACAAAGTTCCTTTTGTGCCTATAATTAACTTTAAAAATTCCCCGTGGTAGGTGTAATGATGTTTTCTGAAATACAAAACAATGCTGTATTGTCTAAAATACGCATACCTAAAAACACTAAACCAAAGTTCCCGGATCCAAGGTCTCGTACATATTCTATACTGGTCAGCGGAAGTTGCTTCATATCAGCAGGATTAAACAGACTTAGGACTTTGCTCTCGTCAAGGGCGCGCATGGACTCGGCTCTAATTCGGTCTCTCATGGACACAGCTGTGAAATGGACGCCTTCGAAACCCTTCGACAACTTCAGCGGTTTTCTTTTTCGTTTCTTCAAGACACAGGCGATAACAATGATGATGACAAGAAGAGTAATGACAGCAGCTATCGCACCAGCTATGGCAGCTGTGTTTGACTTCGCTGAAGATTCTGTTCTCGGCTTCATGCTTGGTTCAGCGGTTGTGAAGTCTGAATAAAGAACCAAAAGATCAGTATAAGATGTCGGCATAATGGAAAAAAAATGGCTTCATTTCCAAACACTATATAACTCAAGGTCCTCAAAGACAATAAAATGTACATCTTCCTAGCTTGGACGACTAATTTTCTTACCCTTAAATCAAATAAATTTACATTATTTACACTTTTTTAACGTTGTTTTAACGATTTTAACCCCAATTTTTTACTCAGCAAACGGCATTTTATAGAGATCAAGGACCATTTTTAATAACGCGCAGCAAACGGCAACTCAAGAGCTAATCAACGGAATATAACATGCAAAACTTGACACCAAAAATATTTTATCAGTTAATGTAAAAAAGATATTGCATCAAATTACTTCACATAAAGTTGGTGCATATCAATTAAAACCCTTTAAATTCATTGCAATTTACTTTTACGCTTCTTCTTCGCCGGTGTTTTCTCTATTTCAAAATTGGACCTGACGTGACGTCATTAGAACTGGTGACGTCAGACCGTCTTGAAAAAATTGGAAGAGATAATTAAGAAGTTTACTTACGGAAGAGTCCAAAATGAACACACGTGGAATTCTCAGCTTCAAAGGCAGCAGAATATCGCAGTTTAGTACAGTTGGGCACACCAACATGAGCGAAGGCTAGTCCCAATTTTTCAATGATATACTTTGCTGCTCCCAGCATTTCTCGCATGGCTGAGTTGCACTCATCAAAAACAGCTTCGCAATCTTCTCTGCAGTAGCTGTACCGCTCATTGTCTTCGTTGCACGGAGGTAGGACGTATTCGCAGAGCAGAGCCTTTAAAATCCGCTTGCACCAGTCCTGGCCGTCTATTCGGTTAATAGCATACATGAACTCCAAAATCACTGTCTCTGTTCTATTCAGGCCAAATCTATTGTCTATAAATCGTGGTGCCCAGCGGTATTCCAGCATAGTGACGTTTAACCACGTGTCACACACCTGTCCACGATACACCTGGCACGTGCCCTCGGGACTGGAAATGAATCAAGACAAGTTCAATGGTCATACTCCGGTTGGTAAATAGCCCGCACAACGGTGCATTTGCAATACCGCGATCAAAAATTCAAATGGTCCCGCAGCGCGAAAACTTAGACCCGTCCATGAGTTTAAAACAATTATCTTACGAAATCGCGCGGAATATCGCCCGACGTTTGGCTGACGAGGCCACTGACCGAGTTGCTAAAATTAAACGCTATAAATTAAATTAAACGCTATAAATTCAATAAGCCCAACATCCTTGCCCCACCCAACCCTCCTACCTACACACAAAGCAAAAGACCCAAACACTCACCCTGCTGTGGTCGAGAGAGATGGGTTCTTTGCCGTTGTCATGGGAACATTTGTCGTGTGTGTTGAGTTGTTGAGGGTCTGATTATTTGCTATTCCATAACATTGTGTTACATTTTCAGAAGCCAGTGATGAATTCCAACAGCAGCCCCAACTCAGACATTGATCCCTTGAAACGTTGGAGGGGCCACAGGACACCAGAGTCATGTTCAGTGGTAAAGCAGAGCAGTTTTTTGCCATCACTTTAAATAAAAAGTTTATTAATAGAGGACGGTCACCCTTAGCTTGTTATCGAGAGAGCGTTTTAAGGAAGTCAGTAGTTGACGTATACACTCAATTACCAAAAACCTTTTAAGTAGGTGCTCTCTATGAAGTTTTCTTTTTCTAGTCAGAACATCACCGGATTCCTTAAAATATTCAGCAATTTTGGAGGATGATGGAAATACACCAGGGTTGACTTTTGGATCACCCTTTTAAGGCGTACTTGTTTCAAGCTCTTTAAATTGGCTCTGATTTTGTATCCATTTTCAGGTTTAACAGAAAACCACATAAACCGGTGATATAACCTGGTGATAAATATGCACTCTACTGTGCCATGACAGAAGCGGAACATTTCACAATATAAGCCTCCCCTAGCCCTAGCCCTAGCCCTTCCCTAGCCCTAACCCTAACCCTAATGACTAAAATTCCAATACTGGTCTTTGAAGCAACTAATCCCTGCCTAAACCCGGGAGGAACATTTTAATCTTCTCTTTAGTGAACTCCCACACATGTGAGTTCAATCGTCATGTAACTGACAATGTGCCTAAAATGCTTGCCTGGCAATAAAACTAAAATTCTAAATAATCAGATGAAGATAATTCATTTCTCACTTATGACCACAGCGCGGCTGTGACGAAACCATCTTCAATTCAGTGGGCGGGAATATGTGTTGAATTTGCACAGAAGCAAATTATTTAAACTTTTTAAGGACTCACGACCTTGGTAAAAGCAACCAAGTTAATTGGATTTTACTTGTCCGCATTTCAATCAGATTTTGTGGTCATAATATTTCCCTTATTGCATGCTATACTAATGCCATGCCGCTAAGTTCTGCCGGGGTATCAAGCACGCACAACAATAGAAAAAACATGCAGGGTTTTGTTAATTCAGTTATAGAATGAGCTAAGCAACGACAAAGGCGAGGAAGATGCCCATTAAAAAAATGATTTATATTTTACCTTCCAATTTCTTAATTATCTGAATCTGTTCAGTCCCCCAATCGGTCCTAAAAGCTGTTCAAACTAAATATGTAATGCCAGCGATCACTTCCACAGGAATACGAAAACCCTAGTGGCTTACGTACGTTCTCCAAACTACGCACAACTTGGTCATTTCACGTTGCTGTTGTTTTGCCGAGGAAGGCTAATCTGTAGGCTGAGAAATGAGCAAAGATTTATAACGCACGTGCACAACCACTGTTCTGCAATTAAATCTTTTGTTTGGAGACGTTCTCATTGTCGTTGACGTCGTAATTTGCTTAAGCTCCCAATTAAGACTCCAAGATTTTGTCACGTACTTTGTGCTTATGTCAACCATGTCCAAAAGCGCTAGAAGAACGCTTATGCTTATGCTTATATGTCTCAAACTTTCACCATTAGCACATAAGTTTCTTAGGCTTTTAATCGTTATGACAGCTACTATATTTTTATACCGATCTAATAAAGGTATAAAGAAATAACAGCTAAAAATTATTTTACAAATAGAATTAATCAATGACAAGAAGAGAAAACTCCACTGAAATGAGTATTTTCTGTGTTCCTGGCAAAATACGTGACGCGGTGCTTACCGCCAGCGTTGCAGCCATTTTTTCCATTTGTTAAATTTCTTCAATTCTCATAATCCGTTTACTTGAAAGTGTATTGATCGTCTTAAGAGAATTTAAATGTTGACCGGTATTTAGTCATAGCATTGATCATACGTGCTCAATCAGTGAATACATGATGTCGTGTTTTTTGCCTTTTTATTACCACCTTGTTGTTTTTCGGTCGGGTTGCTTTCTTCTTAGAAAGATCTTCTAAGACACGGCATCGAATCTTCAACGGAGAGTATAAATATTAAATGTAATTCAACGCGTCCAGGGTTAATTAATATACATAAGATAGAATTCTGGAGGAAATTAATTAATAAAATTGAAATAACCACTTGAATAAAACAAAATTTATCTTATACATTAAAACCATTTACGTCGAAGATATAGGCGATAACAGAAATTTGTTTTGCTTGAATTTTCATGTCTCAACACATTGTAACATATCACACAAGCTTTCCTCTTCGTCTTTAACTGAGCATAACAATCAATTTTTCTGCTAGCCTGGGTTACTTAGAGAGTGACTATTTTAGAAATAACTGACAATAAATGCAAATTTTCTTTAACGATTTGTTAAAAGCACGGTCTTAGGAGTTATTAAATTTGCCTGGAAGTTTCCAGCATGCGTTTTTCTAGTGTCAAACCTCCCAGCAACTTGAATTTTGAAGCAAATTTAACAATGGTTATTCTGAGCATTTATAAACACACTCAAACATACACACTCAGTTATCGATAAAGGTCGATTTGGACATTGGACGAAAAACAACATAACAAAATTATAGTTACAAAGAGATGTAATCCTGATGCAGGGTTGACACTAACAAACATACATTTCATACAGTTTTGTTTCGTCAATTTCGTATTATATCTTATTATGCTTCTTAATCATTTTATCTGGGTACGATAAAAACGAACCCGATTTCCCGAGGAGCTATTAAAGCTATGATTCATGTATTTCTCATCAGCTGTGTAACACATTTGATATATCTAGCGATATTAGCCCCCACATGCGGTGTTTGACCTCTGCGTATTGCCCAACTAATATAGATTTGCCGTTCCTACCTGACGTACAGGCACAGCTTGATATGCAACTAAACAACACCACCAGGATATATTTCAACTCCATTACGTGATTGTAGATTTCACAGAGAACTCGACCATTGAAACGTCTTTGTAGCGTTAGCTCCCGAACAATCCCTGGTCTGCTTCATGAGTCGAGTGAGATTTAGCTCGTGTTTCGACAGTGTTAATAGTTAACCGCTAATGCCCTCTTGCGATCTACGCACGAATTGATGACAGACAAGAGTATTACTTTCTCATTTCCGTTCGCTATTTTCGTTGGTTCAGTCATCCAAGTTTACCGGGTCTAGCCTGCGTAGCAAAGGGGAGCAAAGGGGAGCAAAGGCGAAGCAAAGGGGAGCAAAGGGGAGGCAAAGCGCGGATCGAAGGAGGAGGACGAAGGGCGTTTTTTGCCTCCCTACACTATCCGCGTTTACACTTTTTACGTGGGGTGGGGGGAGCTTATCATTTAGCTCCTGGTTTGGTACTTCCCTCAAGATACCTCCCTTATTTTTCTTCAGAGTCCTTGATATTCTGGTTACATTCTATGTTCCTCAAATAAACGCGAAAATGATAAGTTAAGTTAATTGTTTTTAATTTTTAGATATTAGTATATTAAAGTGCCAGGAAAGTGTTGGATATGAACTCCCAAAATCATCCCAACGGGCCACAGAACTGGCACCCCTCAATCCCCACCCCCACCCCTCCCTCCCCCACTCCCCCCCCCCAAAAAAACGAAGAATACCAGAAAATGTTCAAATAATCTATCACAAATAGCGTGTATACATTTATTTGTATGTACTCGTAAAGATTGTGTTTTGGTAAATTTCCAAAAATAGCTATTGCACACTGACAGTGAGCTCTCTCTGTGAGGCCATAACCGTTACTTATATGCGGTTATATTTTTAAAAGTCTTTAAAAGTTTCTAGTTTGAGGGGCCTTGTACAACCAGAAAATACAAAAAAAAAAAAAACAAATAGTAAAATACTGAAGGTGCGCCTCTAAACTTAGAAAAGTGTTTTTAAATTATACAATAAAACTTAAAAGCACCATCCTTGAGGCGTGCAGTCTGCAACTGAGTCTGCGCGGATAACGCCTCAGAGTCAATGTTTTACAATATATATGTTTTCTAGCCATACCATATGAGAAAACTCGTAGTTACAAATAAAGCATTTGCCAGATTCCACTACAACTCCTTCTTTCTATCCTATCCTGATAAATGTTGATTCCACGATTTGCAGACATAAAAATGCGCCCAGTTTACAATAGGAAACATGTTGAATATTGAAACATTAAATTCCTCCAATTCTGCAAAAACGACAGCAGCTTGCCTTTACAGCATTTATTTTTAAAAAAAACCAATATATTTTTGGTTATTTGTAATACAAACATTTTTGCTTATGGTAAATATTGCACAGCAATAGATAGCTGCTCGTTCTGTTCAGTGCATAATTACAAGAGAATTTGTACGATTCTGCTTGCCTTATTGTCCTGGAAAATGTTAATTCTGTGGTTTAAATGGTCTAACAATTCGCTCCTTAAACTTATAATATCACACATTAACTGCTTCACAGGAAGTGAATAATGCACTAGTCACTGTACTCTAGGAAAAATGCTGACGATGTGAATCGTTACAAACTGAAACGTCATTTCAACCTCAGAATATGGTAATAAACTTAAAAAAACAAAATCACAACCAAACAGATGCAAAATTACAAACCTCATGCACAAACGGTTCTCCAAGAGAGGATGAAAAATCCATTTCAATCGTCGGAACTACATTGTACAATTTTTTACTGTTGTTGTGGTTGTTATTTATTAATATCATTATCATCATCATCATCATCATCATCATTAACTTGCGTAGTAATATATATTTATGATATCTTTGAACAGATTTCAGTTCTAGCCACGAGCAAGTACGTTTGGGTATTTATATACGTTCGAACGCATCATAATTCGTTGATTTTCATCAAGCCTTATCATCTTACACAACGCCAAGGTTTAAAGCTACATTAACGTAACCCGAGCTTGGGTGCACGTGACCATTCTCAGGGGTACCTGGAGCTTGCTCGGAAATCTTCTTGGTAGGTTTCTTCTCAATGGGGGTCTCCTCTGAGGAAATGAAAGAAATTCCAGTTAAGGTGGCCGAACACAGTTTTCGCGCGCGCTTTTGCTGATGCAATTCAGCGCGTGCACAAGTATCGCAAAAAACAAACATGCCGTCAACAGAGCGATTATTTTATTTACTCAACACCCGCAGTATCTGTGCTATTTTTCTCTATAATTGAACGTAGCGTATTGATGGCTTTAGTCTTTTATTACAAAGATATGTTAGAAAAGGTAAGGATGCAAAGAACCCAGCAATTCTCAGCTTTTTCTTTCTTACCGAAAGAACCCAGATATTCCAGTGAACCTTCAACAAGGGATAATTAAAGATCTCTCTGTTAAATTATTGGCAAAATGGTGTTAACTTGTGAGAATCGTTACAAGCTTGTTGCATGCAAATTATAAAGAAAATCTAATGACTATATTTTTTGCAAATAAACAAAACCGATTTTAAAGGCCTGTTTATATTTATTCATGTTGCCATGGCAACGGCACATACGTCAGCTTAACCAACAAAAAACAGTTTAACCAACAAAAAAAAGTTTGTGTTATTAACTAGCTTGCTGCCATTTTTGACGACCGAGGGATCAAGGGTTGTAGAGAAAAAGGTGAATGAAACACAGGTATCAAAAACTGTGTTCAGCCACCTTAATTTGGTTACTCCAATTCACAGTTACTCTGACGGCCCACTTTGTGGCCAATCACGTAAGTGACCAGCTGACTACGGTTGTAACCTTGTTTTTATTGACCCCTGTAATTAGCTCTCTCCCCCCCAATTAGCTCTTGTTAGCGACCAAGCTGAGATTCTGTTTCGCTGAGCACAACTTGATCCGTGATTCACTTCAGATTTGGAAATTGTTGAATTTCCGAAAAGAGAACTATTCAACCAAAAATTTCGGAAATTCCAGGAGGAAAGTGAGCGGAAATCCTCGGTAAGAAATTGTCCTCTTTTATTCTGAAATTCCGGAAAGGCTGTTCCATTCGTCACCGGCAATTTCCGACGACTCAATCCGGAATTTTCCATCGAATAGAAATTTTACAATAACTGTCTTATTTCTTGCGCGCTGATTGGCTCATTTCTATCATCAATAAGAGTACAGACGGACAAAATCTTAATTTATGCAAGCTTTTTAGTTCAACTTTCTGCTGTCAAACTGACAACTTTTTAACCAATGAGATTTTATGGACTTTTTTAAGAAGCCAATCAAAAAGCGAGAAAAGCTATTGACAATGTTCGCGTCATTTTGAAAAAAATTCATTTATCTTTGTTTACGGCAAGTTTATGGCGTATTTTCCCCTCATTTATTCCCGGCATTTGACCATTTTGGGGTCTTGTTATTGAAAAAACAAGTTGACGTCAGTTTTTTATGCGTCTGTCCTCTTATTGATGATAAATTTCGTCATAACATTGTCAAAGTTTACTGCGGAACCACTCGCCTGCGGCTCGTGGTTCCACAGCCACTTTGAAAACGTTATGACGCAATTTATCATCAATAAGAGGACAGACGCTTTAAAAACTGACGTCAATTTGTTAAATGGAATTCTGGGTTGCAGAAAGAGTGTAAGAGTGTTCACGCCCCTTGACCAGCGGTCGGGAAGAGAGCGATCCTGGAAAGTAATTCTTTCATCCGATCGAATTGTAGCTAAATGTGCATGTCTAGCTAGTCGCCAAACAGATGCTTAACTGAGTTCTATGGGTTTTTTTCTTTCGGTCATTTTTATTGTTTCTAAAAACCAATCAAAAAAGATCCTGAAAAAGAACTCTCCAAAGTCGCTCGTTTCATCAAGTCAATAGCTTATACAACATCTAACTTGCCTTTGAACTCTTCTGCCGAGAACCCGATGTTCTGGTACAACGATTGCTTGTCGTGGACTGATAACGGAAGGTCAAGTGAATGGGTGGGCGACGTCACTTCCTGTTTGAGCTGAGCTATCATCAAGGTAAAGTTGGGTCTTTGTGAAGCATCTTTGTGCCAACAACTCTTCATTATTTGGTACACGTGGTCCGGACAGTCGTCGGGTTGACCCAGAACTACCCCCTGTGATAAAAATTATATTCTCTGATTACGTACATGTGTTATGAGATTTGATGGTTAGTTTCAAAGAGGTAAATGTAAAAAGTATTATATTGCGCTAAATTTTTTTCTCTATTTTTTTACAGACGGATTGATCGAGTAAATCAAAAGAAAACAAGAGTTGTCGCTTCATCCGTTTATTGTGCCGTCAAAATCATTAAAGGTTACAAAGAAAACAACAAGTATTTTTTCTTTGTTCTCTTACCGCAGCCCCTGTGGCGCAATGGACTAGCGTGTTGGACTTCTAATTCAAAGGTTGTGGGTTCGAGTCCCACCAGGGGTAGAATCTTTTTTCCTTCATTTCAAGCCAACACGGTTTTTACATTTTACTTCACTGTTCTGTTGTGATGACGAACAATTTTAAAATCGAAACTCTATTTTTAGAACGCTAATACGCAGAATAATCGATGAGATATTTTACAGATTATTCTGTAAATACTGAAAGAGACGAGCAGACACTTAAACTGATTCGAATAAACATCAACCGGAGGAGGAAAAAAAAAATTCATCGCTGACCCCGACGTGACTTGAACACGCAGCCTTCTGATCTGGAGTCAGACGCGCTACCATTGCGCCACGGAGTCAACCCATACATTGACAGAAGAAAAATTAATATTTGAATACGGCACGGTAGACGGAATACATTATTGTGTGAACTGGAGCGTTTCTTTGATTTTTTTTTTTTCCACTGGGATAATGACATAATGGTCGAGTTCCTTCGCAATCTTGAATAGAAAAAAGGGAAATACATGCAATACAAAATCCATGAATTACATAGGCGTCACGGTAGTTTTCGTGACGTCATTATTTTCCCAGATTAAAAATTAACAATTAACAATTAACAATTCCTCTGAAGTTTTAGTTTCATCAGATACAAGACCCTCTAATAAAGAAATTGACGTTTTACAAAGTTTAAGCTCTATGGGCTACCTCATTTTGTTATTGAGAACGTTTGAATTTCCAAGTTTATGCATTGCGTGACAAAAAAATGGCGGCCCGAGAAGGCTGTCGCGTAGTATCGCTCAACAGAACAGTCCTTGCTCGAGAAAAATCATTACTTTCCATGTGTTGGAACTATAAAGTAATAGTTTTTCGTTTCAATGGCGAAACTCAATGGCAGATGTTTCTGTTACTTTAGGGCCGCCATATGTTGGTGCCGGAAGGTCCCGATGCAAAGCTCCACAAATTTGGGTGATAACTCGCGCGAATTAAACGCTGCACAGGCCTAAACCTTGCAATTGGTGAGGTTGTTTACATATCAATTAATTATCATTTCCCAGATTCTTGCCTTAATTGAATTATTGAATGCTTGGGCGGTATACGTGAATTTTTGAGAAAAACTTCTCGCAGTAGCTTTTTTCTCTCTTTTTTTTTCTTAATCTTCTCGCAGAAGATTTATCAGAAAGCCACAAAACGTGCATACCAAAATCTCAGATATTATTTTCAAAACAGATTTTTGCAAACTTTATAGACTTATGACAAACCTGTTTAATAAACTCCACAACTTCTTCATTTGTGTAGCCATAATAAGGCTGCAGAGCAAGAGTGTAGATTTCCCACAAAAGGACACCAAACGAATAAATATCAGACTCCACGGTGAATTTTCCAAGCAGTAAAGCCTCGGGAGGCATCCAGCGGATTGGTAACATAGCCTGGCCTTCCACCTGAGGGAGATAAAATCGATTTTCTTTTTATTGTAAAGAAAAGACTCACCAGATGTCGACACAGTAGTTGTATTTCTCACTCTGTCCAAATGCCATTCTCATCCCCAGAGCCTCAACGACATTTTAAGACGAGTAGCACTGGGGATGAGAATGTCTAAATGCAATACACGCATGATCACTCCCAATCTAGACTACTACAGTCTAGTCCGGAGTACTCCCTCTTTCGCTTAGTACGTCGTGCGTGACGCGAGAGAAAACCGCTAGAAAAAAATGGCCGCGCGAAATCCTGGAGGCGAGGAGCGCGCGAAAG